AATTTTTTTACTTTTGCGATTTGCTCACTTCTTACATTTCTTTAATTTATAAAAAAAATAAAATTTGAATTAAATTTTACTTAACATTACTTTAAAGCTTACTAAATTCCTTTCTAAATGATCTATTATTTTTTAAAATTCTATTCATAGATTTCTAGCATTTACCCGAAATAAACTCAGTATCTCATAATAGAGGCCTTTCCTCTATCTTAGGAGATTATAAGAAATATGCATTAATAATAATTTCCTTCTTACATAATTGTTAATAATAAATATGTTAAACAAGGACTCTCTCTCCTTAAAATAACAAGAAAACCAATTAAATCTGGGCTAATGAGAGTCAGCGCGATTGACTCTATCTTGACCGTCCGCGAAATCTAGTATAAATTAAGAAGATTGCTGACGAAAATTCCAAAGAGAATCAAAACGTTCAAGAATTTTCAAGATTTCAAATAAAGATGATATCAACACTTCGTATCGATTAACAAATTTATTTGTAAAATTTTATTGCGCACTTTCGTTCGCACTGACTCTCATTAGTTCAGATTTAATTTGTTTTTTGTTATAATTGTTAATTTCTTACTTAAATCAAATTTTCTACAGTAAAAATTTTGTATTTGTGTTAGAAACGGTCTACTCAAATTCTTGTAAAAATTTTGTGTTAAATTTTTAATTAAATATCCGAGTTTTAATTTAATATAACATGATTGTGTTATTTGAATATTTTGTGTAAAATTAAAATTTAATTCTCAGTGTTAAAATAACACAGTTTGTAAGTAAGTAAACAGATAACATAAAAATAATGTAGTTTTAAAACATAAATTCTAAAAATAAATGAATAAAATGTGTGTGTTAACTTAATATATTATAAATGTTAATTTTATTGAAGAAATATGTTCTGTACAACTAATTATATATGTAAAATGATACAGATATTTTGTATTGTTTTCTCTTTGTTACAATAAATATTTGTTAAATCTATATATTGCACATGTTAAATATCATATTATATTGTCTAAACTAAAAATGTAAAAATAGTATTATGGATACTTTCAGTTAAATTTAACATTATAAATGTGCCAATTTAACATAAAATTTATTTTTAAATTGTGTCAAAATATTACGCTTCTTGTATTAATTTTTTATATATAATAATATTTGTTTTATTTTCTAATATATTCATCTTATGTTAAATTAACACAAAAATTTGAGTGAATCGTTTGAGATATGTGAAATGTATTAAAGAATGATAGTTTAGGGCCAAAATTTGCCTGTGATGAAAACATATGAAATCGGTCAATCTTTATATATTTGGACGTGTTCGAATATGAAGTTTAAAATTATCCAAAATCCAGGGAACTTTGCGAAAATGCAATTTTTCTTCTTTGCAGAAGAATTACATTGTCACAAAATTTCCTAGACTTTGCAGAATTATTTTAATCTTTATTTTGCAGCAAAATATTGTATTTTCCGATGAACAAAGTAACTGAACAAGGAACTCTTTTTCTATTATAATGACTTCAAAAACTGCAATTTTTGCAATATCAACACGGTGTACAATAACATAAACAAAACAAAGATGCATTAGCTTTACCCAAGATACATCCAAGATACCCAAGATACACGTGGTATATCTTAGGTAAAGCTAATGCTGATAATGAAAAGCTGATAGTGAAAAAGCAGGAACGCATTCATGCTCATGCTCATGCTCGTATGTACGGACATTCATCTTTGTTTTGTTCATGTTATTGTATGTCGTGTAACATTGACTTTTACATTGCAAAAAAGTTGCAATTTTTGAAATCATTATAATAGAAAGAAGTTTCTTATTCAGTTACTATTTGTTCATCGGGAAATATAATATTTTGCTGCAAAGCTTAAAATTCTCCAAAATCTGAGGAACTTTAGAGAATTTTAAACTTCATATTCGAGTTCAGCACGTCCAAATCTAAAAATTGATTTCATACGTTTTCATCACAGGCAAATTTTGGCTCTAAATTGCCACTGTTCTTTAACACAAATTTTTTTATTGTACTATTAAAAAATATATATATATTTTGCAATATAATTGACAATAATTACAATATGATAATTACAATGTGAACAATAATTTTCTATATTATCTTTGAAATTCTGTTATTAATATGTCTTAAGTGCTCTCTGCAGGTTTATTCCACTAAAAAATAATAAAAAAGATAATCAAATATACGACACGATAAAGTAAAATTTTATATTATAGGATATTACATTCTGTGTCGTAAAAGCGTGATCAATTCTTTGAAAGAAATCGAATGTTTTATAAAATGTAATATAAAAATACTAAAATAATATTTTAAAAGTACATTACACTAAAATGCATTTACTTATTAGTATGATGTTCAATATTAAAAAAATAACAATTACGTAGGCAGGAAAATATTTTAATGATAATTTGCTGGCAAGTACGTTGCAACATATTTCTTATACTGCGTTCCTGAGATATATGCGCGATCTGGCTCGGTCGTTGAACGATAGTGAAGGAAAAGTAAGCGCTTCAGAAATTAGCCCGAAATGTACACTCGACTAAAAGATTGCAACATTTTTTTCTTTGGTTTTGGAATGCAGTCTACTTATTCAGTAATTAGTTCTTATTTATAGATCCATAAGTAAAGATCAATCGCTTAGTGAGTAGGTTACATTTCGAAAACCGTAGAAAAAAAACTATTGCAATCTTTTAGTCGGTATACATACCGATTAATTCCGAGAACTGCCATAATATATACCTAACGTATACTATAGCCTACAGAATTATCTAGAGATCGATTGTGTATCTTGAAGTGAGATGAAAATTCCAAATTGAACAAATTCATTCGAATTTTCATAATTTAATTTATCAATACCTAGTAACTTGCTCATTTTTGTTTAATTTTTACCTCATTTCAAATTACACAATCCCCCCTTTGAGCGTAATTCCTGAATGCATTCATTCTATTAGGTGTACAACTTTGCTTCCGCCGTTTTTTTTCCGAAATTCGACTATTGTAAAAAACTGGTTATACATTTATGATTCAAAGTATTGTCCATCGCTGGCCACTACTTTCTCCCATCTTTCGGGTAGCGTACGAATCCCGCGTCGAAAAAACTGGTCATCTTTTGAGGCTATCCACGAATCGATCCAATTTTTTACTTCTTCATAAGACCGGAAGTGCTGGTCAGCCAGGCCATTGATCGAAACAAGTGATAGTCAGAGGGAGCAACGTCTGGAGAATACGGCGGGTGGGGTAGGACTTCCCATTTCAACGTTTCAAGTATGTCTTGACCACTTTCGCAACATGGGGTCGAGCATTGTCATGCTGCAAAATCACTTTATCGTGTCTCTCGTTGTATTGCGGCTGTTTGTCTTTCAATGCTCGGCTCAAACGCATCAATTGCGTTCGATACCGATCGTCTGTAATTGTTTCAGTCGGTTTTGACAGTTCATAATACACTACGCCGAGCTGGTCCCACCAAATACAAAGCATTGACCTTGGACGTCAAAATCACCGTTTTTGAAGCGTTGAAACCACTCGCGACACGTTCTTTCACTAATAGCAGCCTCACCATAAATATTTGAGAGCATTCGATGAGCCTCAGCCGCAGATTTCTTCATATTGAAGCAAAAAATTAAAACCTCCCGCAAATGACGAGAATTTGACTCGTA